ATCATTCCTCAAAGCATGTTCCCAAGTGTATGACGGTATTCTGGCATCGTCGACACAGCCGAAGAGTTTTCAGCCAGCAGGAACATAAGTCGCAGGAATCCCACAGCCGTAAGCCTCTGCTGTCTTTCTCTGCAACTGTCTGCTAAGAATCCCGACTCCACTATACACGCTCAGCACAAGCAACTTCTTTCAACTCTGCTATGTTCGACAAACTCCTATCACTATATTCTACCCTCACCTTCTGTTTTCCGTTTGTGGAACAAATCCATATCCAAAATAACACTATGCAGTACCCCAGCATGCAAGTTGCCACTGCGCAGTCATCTGCTGCTCATCTCCCAGCCACTCCTGCACCCGCAGTGAAGACTACCATTCAACCCACCAACAGAATATATCCACGAACCTTCTTCTACCAAAGAGGCAAATACTGGACGACTGAGCAAGTGCACGCTCTCAACTGTGTCTCCGACAAGAATGTCACTCCCATCGACCTACTTGGGAATTCTTTTCCCACCGACGAAAAGATTCTCAAATGTATGCCATCCTCCCTATAACAAAGACAACTGACCAAATAATAGCTAACATATCTGAGCGCACAGCTTTCGCAAAGCTGAATGAAGATTTCATCACCCCCAGCAAGCAAGAAATCCTGGACTACCACTATAAACCGCACGAGTCCCCAATAAGGAAGAATGATATCCTTACCATCTTTCTCACCTTATCCTGGATCCACGACTTGGACAAGTACCGTGACGATGTCCCACCCACCATCGACTCCACCTTGAGTATCCTTGGTCTCCGTATGGACATCTTCAGGGCAAACTTGTAAGCGTCACTACCATTCCCAACAAATGAAGAGCGCAACTGATATTCAAACCACAACAGCATCATCGACAAATATTCTATCCGATACAATCTCGCCAAGTTAAACATGAAGGGTGTACTCCCCTGCGATGGCGGAATATTCGGTCCTGACGACAAATGGAGACAATGTCCCTTAGTCGTGCTTTTGGTATGCCCTTCCTCCTACTCATAACAACTTACCCATTCAGCACACCAAAACTAATAACCAACATCAACATAGGACACCTACGACCTATCAAAAAGACAAGCCCGTAATAACTTATTTTCATGCCTTCTCCTCCCCATGGCTGTGAAATTTGAACAGGGCCAGAAGCGCGATCCGTACGTGTCTTTCTGCATTACGGCTAATCTCTCCAAGTACCGGGTTACTCGGGCCGAGGTGCCACATAATTACTTTGAAGATCTGCGTCAAGGCAGATGTTTGAAGGACAAGCTGGCCATGAAGGGAACTAGAGAGTATGATTTGCTGAAGGAGGAAGATCGAGATGAGTTCTTGAAGGTTTATTGGGGTGTTTGTTCGTTTTTGGTGAAGAGCCGTGAGGAGGGTATGTGATGGTGCTCCTATTAATTTTGAGATATTTCTATATTTTCTATTTAAGTTTAGCGTTTTGCTGTGTCTGTGACTGTTCAATGTTTGATTTACTACGTTCTGAGCGATAGCGATCTGTCCTGTCTTGAGTCATCATGTCTGCTAAATTCATTGGTTTATGATCAGAGTGAGAAGTCAAAACCACTCCTGATCGAAGTGAGCCGTCAATATCACTTCTTACTACAACCAATAATAATTACTTTCTTGCTTTGATTAAAATGTTTCTATTATTCAACTAAGACCTAATTGCTGGTTACATCCACATCCACCCAACAACTAAATCTCTTCTCTCTCCATACCAAGCTCGACTGGACTTAAATCCAACCAATACTCGAATCACAGCAAATCAATGCTTGATTTACTGAGATGCGACGCACTGGTAGTAGTAAGGGTTCCACTTCTTGCAGACAGAGCCGCTCTCGCAAGTAGTAGGGCCAGTGTGGTTGATACCACCGCAGCGCTCGTACTGCTTAGCAACACCGCCGGCGGAAGCGCTAGCGCTGGCACTGACAACGGGGACGACGCTAGAGGTAGCAGCGGGGGCAACGACACTGGAGGTAGCAGCAGCAACCTGGGAGTTGGACTTGGTCTTGTTCTTGCAGGCAGTCTTGGAGGACTTCTTGGAAGAGGTGGCGAAGGTGGTGGGGGCGGCCTGGGCCTGGCTGGTCACAGCGGAGGTAGCCTGCTGGACGGGGGCAGCAGAGCTGACGACGGGAGCGGCAGCTTCGGTGGTAGCAGCAGCAGCAGAGGAAGAGACCTCAACGGCAGCCTGGGTGGCGGGGGTGGTGGCAGCGACGGCAGAGGTAGTAGCAGCAGCAGCCGAGGAGACAGCAGCGGAAGAGGATCCGGAGCTGGAGGAGCCAGAGCTGGAGCCATCCCAGACATCCGGGCCGGGGATGGGGTAGCTGTCGAAGGAGTTGTAGATGTCGAAGAGGATACCGGGGTCAGTGGCGGTGTAGACACCGGGGATGGAGACACCGGAGGGAAGCTCGTTGGAGCCGTCGGAGGTGACCTTGAACTGGACACACTCCATGTAGAACTGGGCACCACCCTCGCGGTTACCCTCGTGGAGGGCGATGATCTCAGGGCGGAAGAGGTAGTTACCGGCGGGAACGTCGGGAACGGTGATGTTGTGCTTGCCCTTGTTGGCGATCAGGATGTCGGTGGCCCACTCATCGGAGCTCTTGTGGTATCCGTCCTCAGCGATCTTGACCCAGTTGTTGCCGTTGGAGCCCTTGGCCGTCGGGGCCATGTAGACCTGGACGGGACCCTTGTGGGAGGAGGCGATGATGTCGTCGGAGGCGGAGCGGTCGCTGTGGTGCCACTCGAAGGTGACAACGTCACCGGCCTTGACGGAGAGGGTCTTGGAGGCAGCCTGGTCACCGTTGACGTTGCAGGTCATGTCGGTGGAGGTGACGTCGGTGACGGGGCTGTTGCTGGGGGGAGAGCGGATGTAGCCATCGTCGGTGTTACCGAGACCCTGGTCCTCGCCGTTGATCCAGACGGCCTGGACGGTGGTGTGGGCGGAGGCCAGCTTGGAAGCCGCTGCCAGAGCGAGCAAACTGTAGGTGGTAGTCTTCATGGTGGTAGGTGAAATGAAGGTGATTTGAACTTAGGGTTAAAGAATGAATGTGTGGTAGAAAGGAAGGGAACGTAGTTCGCAGATGAGAAAGTAAGAAAAAAGAATGTACAGCTATCCTGGCTGATGAAAAGAATGCTTGGGGAGAAGATTGAACAGCAGGTTCGTAGAGAGTGTTTTATATCAGGGCCCTGGCAGGGGAATGGTGATGGGATACCGGTTGAGCGGCGGAGGAGATGCGGGCCCTGCCAAGCCAGACGTTTCATCTTAATGCGATCCGGCCGCGATCCACGCTCCACAGAACGGGGTCAACTGGACCCTGGCGGAGTGCATTGCCAGGCCATCCGCCGGTTGCCAAGGACCACTGCTACAGCGGCGCCTTGGCTTCATTTTGCAGGCGCGTAGAGGGAGAGACACGGGTCATGTCCCTCTTCTTGGCTTGGCTAGTCTTACTCTCAGACACCCCCTCATACTGTGATAGTCAGACCAGTAGCTGGCTCAACGGCCAATCCGGGCAAATCCCCGGCGTTTAGCCTTAAGCATGCCGGACCTTAATCTTGTTGCGGCCTTGGCTTCTTGCTGCAAAAGCTTTCTGTCAGCTTCCAGGGTGGGGGCTTTGGCCAAAACGGTGTCTCTGGTTCCAAGAACTTGCCCTGTATTCTCAAGGATTGATGTATATCAGCCCCTGGGCAATGATCAATTTAGCCAAGGGGTTGTTCAATCTCCGGGTGTGCTCAGAGGGTGTTCACAAGGACCCTGTTCATGAAACAGCACTGTTAGTGAACGACTTACCGAAGGTGGCTCTCAAGTCTCGGCTGATAGCATGTTGCAGAACCAATGCCAGCCAATCCGGGTAAATTGGTAATAATCCTTCATTTGCATACGGGCCAGATAGCACAGCCTCATTTTTGTGTACACAATACTCAGCCTGTAAAGCAAATCGTTCCTATTATGGGCCATTCTTAATTAAAGTTAATCTACGATCACGTACAATAAGGGATGGCTGGCGCAAAGTACTTGGTAGACGGCTCGTGGTTGGGCAAAGCGCCGACTATCATCCTTAGTGGCCCTATTCCTGTAGGAACTGGACCCTTTTGACGAAGCAGCGAGTATTCCCGCCCCAAAGGTAGTAGGCTCATGTCAATGGAATATCTGCAGGTACAAGGGCTGGTATTATCGGCATAGAAATATACTACACAGTGACTAGCTTGGGGCAACGAAAACAAAACCTACGCATGAGAAACACAAGAGTTGAGGCACACCATATACTTGACTTCATGCTCCCAACAATGAACAAGTAGGGTAGCTTTGTGTGTAAGTACCCTTCTAGTCTCACTAGTAGTATTTACTGCACAGGTTTGATCAGGTGGGCAAGAATAAAAGGATTGTAGAATATATTGTATATACAGGGCCCGTAATTCAACCAATCAGCTCCTATGGCTCAGTTGGTAGAGCGCATGACTAGTAATCATGAGGTCCGCGGTTCGAATCCGCGTGGGAGCATTTCTTTTATCTTTTATCTTTTTGCATCCCTTGCTTTCAGTTCGGGCATTAGTCAGAAGAACTATGCACATTAATTATTCGTTAGAGATTTGATGCACAAAAGCCTGTCGCGTAGTCCTGATGTGATAGCTAGTTTGTCCTCGGCTGTGAACTCCGTTGCAGGCCTGCTACGTTTTCCCTGTTTTCACCGCAGCCAGCAAACAGGGATGTTATGTGGCGGAAGTATACAAACCTGATCATAGTCTTGCACTTGAGACATTGCAGTATCTGCCATATCGCACCACATACTGTATGAAAGCTGATACGGCGGATGCTGTCCGGTATTGACTTTTCATGGATCTACTTTCTCTCCTAACTGAAGATAAACCCTTGCTCATAAGAATCAAATTGGCTATAGTAAGTCGTTCCAGAAAGGTTTGCTCACAAGATACAATCAACAACCAACACATCATCTCCTACCCTAGCCTACAGCGATGACCGATACAAAGGCTTCTGACCCACAACCCTCATCAACTTCAGGGGCGGGGAATTTCCCTCTGCGCACCGACGCCGATGCTCTTCAGCAAGATTCTCTGCCTCTTGCGATGCGACTTCTGCGGTATCGACCTGCTTAGATCTCAGCAAAAGGAAGGCATAAAGTGTTCTGATTAACGCAGCAAGTCTCTCCTCGACATCATGGTGCAGATCAGGAATCTTGTGCGAATCATAACACAGTCGCTCTACACCCACGAATCCAGCTGCCCGAGTCTCTTCATATACCTTAGCTGAAGCCTGAAAGCATTTGCCCTCGGCTGTCAGTCCATAGTCAAAACAGCGATAAAGCTCAGTGAGCACCGGGTAGCCTTTTGTGAGGTAAGTTACAGCGTCGATTTCTTCCCATTGGAGGTAGCCTCCGGGCTCTGCAGTCATATTAGTGTCGAGTCAAGGAAAAATGTGCAATGTGCATATGAAGGGTCTTCCATACTCAATATTTTAAAGATATTTGCGATCGCAGCTTTGTAGTCTGATTCCTCGAGAGCAGCGACTAGAAGACGAACATGTACCAAGTCATATCGTCCCCAATGTTCTTGAGGGAATGGGACAGTCAGATCGTGAACACTATACTGGATCGCTCCTGGGTTCTCAGGGAATTGCTCGGATGAGATATCGAATCCATGGTAGTAGCGATCGACTTGAGGTGTATCCAGCGATTTCTTCAGATCTCGCAGCCAAATGCTGCGCCACATATTTACCCATTAGTTTCAAAGACTGGGCCCTGCACGGAGAAGAGAGACTCACCCAGTTCCGGTAGCTATATCTGCAACAGAACGGATGTCTTCGACTGGAATTGAAGGATGAATGAGGGTATCCCCGCTGGTTCGGACGAGCACGCGGTGCTGTACATCCAGCCTAGAATGGCATTAGGGAATTGCCTGACTATCCACGAACATTGCTATGTGTAGTCCCATACCTCTCCGACTCTTTCTTGTCTCTTTCGAAGCAATATTTATCCTGAGCAGCCATTGTTGCGTTTCGTTGATATTCTTTATCCGCTGAATGGACAGCCGCCTTCTACCCACCTTTTATACTGCAGAACCCCCTTACATGACCTCATATGGAGAATCTCGATCGCTCGATTATGCCCCAGCTTTAATTCCCTCACTGATTACCATCATCGCTTGAATTATACCCGTAGGTGGTTATTGGTTCTTGTTTGCCGCTAAGGACTCTTCAGCTCCACCAAACCAGTGGAGTAGCTGCAGGAGCTGAAGAATTGTCACAACCTGCACCCCTCTCAGCCAGCCACTCTGAGAAGTCTTCATAACAAAGCGATTGGTGCGGCATTGATGACCCAAATAACTTGGTCAGAATTTACATGTTCCGACCGCGGAGTATCTCCACTGATCATCTCGGCTATATTTTCCTGCCCTGGCAGACCGTCACAACCGTGCTGATCTGTGCTCGTGCCCCATCAACAGCCACGTATCACGGAGATGTCCGGCTTATCACGAGTCCGGCTAAACTTCATGAAGTGTCTGCCTGCATGATGTGTAGCGCAATTGAGGAAATCCCCAGAATCTGTGACAGCATGGACCAAAAGAACTGGTGGTGTAGTAGTACTGTCTCTGCTCGGTCAACACCTGGTGACTCCTGCTCAGGCCCGTACCTGAGTTTATTTGAGAAGGCTTATCGCAGAAAGCAGAATACTGCAGCCTGAGATCCCAATTATAATTTCACATTGATGCGCATGACTTGGATCACACCCGGCATTCGATCCAGCTCGATTATTTGCCGCTCTCGGGTATCATATCTACCCCGCTTTCCAATGGAATTGTCGGTAATTGCGCTGGAAGAGGGCCCAATGTTGGCATCCTAAGAACTATACCTTCGAATCCCACGAGGAGTATCCAATTTCCCTGGAGCCATCCAACGACGTAAGTCTAGCGGACCTTGGATTACAAACACAATATTGAATATATCCAGTATATCGGAGGAAGGGGAATCCGGTCTCTACATGAATCTTCAAGTATATCCTACAGGGGCAGTCTGATCCAGAGTTGATATCTTTGAGATCACCCTCGAATAAAGTCTTATGTAAATGTAACTATGCGGTAGAAGGGCAACAATAAGGACTTTGGATCCCGGAGACTTCCAGCCTATGGTAGTTAAAAAGAAGCAGTCACATTAGACTGCGAAATCTTCCCGTGTAGGAGACTTCTACTTCTGGCCAGTCCTTGAAACTGCCGTATGGAGCTGGGGAGACTTGAAGCCAGGCAGGGTGTACTATCTCAATAGCTGGTCCAGATTTTCCAGCGGTTATATCAACTAAGATAGTTGGACTATAAATACTACTACTTCCAGTGGGATTTGGCTGTCGCTCCAACACACCAACATGCCTGGAAGGGCCTTGGTAGAACGAGCGATGAAGCCTACTATGAGGCGAGATCATGATTGTAGAGAAGTCTGGCCTATATTCACTCGAGGACGCAAGTATGCTCCGGAAAATCGGAGAAGAAATTTTTTGCAGCCATCTCACTCTCGTGCAGCATTTCAACGTAGCCAACTCGAGAGTACGTGTCTCGCTTAGTCTGAATTAAGGCCAGACCAAAGAGTTCCCAAAAATTTCTGAACATATGGCGAGCTTCGATTGGCAGGCAGTAGATCTCGGCACACATCTCACTCTTGACGTCAAATATCACCTCGCACCGAGCTCGCGGATACTTAACTGTAGGCTTTTGACCTTCCACTCCAGGGGTTTCAAGGCTCAGTACAGACATGGCAGTCTCTTCCGGAAGAGTCATGACGCTTGGAATGAGCGTTGCGGACGCGAGAGGTCCTTTCAAAGTGACACTACCACTGGCCACTTGACCTGTCTCATCTTCTCCGCAAGGAATACATTTAGCGCTGATGACAAGCGCTAAAGACTGGGCAGTTTTCTTTTGCACAGAATGTGTGCCTGGATAGCACAACTGAACGGCACCGTCCACAGAAGCCCACGACCAGGAAGGTGCGCGGTACGAAGGAGGTCTGCGACCGGGTTCCAAGACCTTCCAAGTCAAACACCCGGGTAGATTCTGACGCCAAAGCCCAGCAAGATAATTATCTTCATCATAACCTAGATCCTTGAGGCGCCTCCGGACATCTTTTGCCAAGCCAGAAATAGCTACAAGCTTGTCCGAGGGAACTGTAAGCTGGCAAGCCGTGAAAACCATTGCGATTGCGCACCAATCTACGTAGATCTGGTCTCTAGGATCACCTATGTACCTTACCTTTGGAGCATCAAGAAGCTGTTTCCAAAGGTGGTTGTGTTGAGCGGCCGGCGATGATAACGATGATTTGTCCAGAGAATCCCCATTATCATTGTTCTTGTCGTTGCGATAACCATCGTACTCGTAAACATTGTTCGGCTGTATTTCGCAGCAGGTACATTCCCTGCACTCCCAGAAAACTTGTTTCCGACCAAAGTGCAAAACCCGTGGGCATAAAAGACGTTCTTGCAAGGTCCAGCCTCGCTTTGGCAAAGGTTCTCGATCAAATGTTACTTTCCAAGCCCAACCCTTTTCTGAGCGAAACCTGAATGCTTTGGGATCACTCCAATTATCGACACGTATGTTGACGACGCTAGGGGCAACTTGTGCTGAGTCTCGGGAGAAAAAGCAGCCATCAGCATCGTTACTTGATCCCAGGGCAGAAATCCCCAGAAATGCATTCTTGTATATTTGCCCCATAGTTGCGGATTCGCTTTGCCAGTCCTCAGGCGAATCTTGGAGTATACAGAGACGGTCAATCCATATGTACCGAAATCTCAACCGTTCAATGATGGTGAAAGCGTGCTTGAATGTTTTGGGAAGGACAGAGAGTGGCTGATATTCTTTCAATTTGCGAAATGTGTCCTCCAACAAGATCAAGTCGGGGTTGGATGGCGTTGAGCCCCAGCAGTGGCTTAGCGTTATGTAGCGCTCTCCGGGCTGGACATGTTGCCTTTCAACAAGACGGAACATTTTATCAAATCTGTCTGTTTGCAGTTCTAAAAGCCGGCTTGGGATAAAGTTTGGTTCATGTTGATCATCGCAAGCCGAATGTCCTTGAAGACATCGATTAAGCCACCGCTCAATTAACACCCACGTTGTCTGGTCGTCAGTAGATGCCCCTATTTCAAAGCTCAAATTCTCATCAAAACCTTTAAAGCTTGTACCAAGACAATTGTTAGAGGTCAGCCTGATTGGGTAATATATTCCATGGAACAAATAAGCCTTCATGTCTGGCACATACCTTCATGCGAAATCATATCACAGGTGCCGGAGATATTACCATAGTACACCGTCATTTCCACGCAACGAGGCTTCAACAATATCTTGAATACGGAAAAATACTCAACACCCTCCAATTGTGTGTTAAGGGTTTCCCGGTCCAGGTTCTCCATATCATGCAATGGCGCGAATTTGTAGCATACGACACAGCCTTGCTTGATAGATGCCACAAATGCCCAAACACCCTTATTTCCGGCTCCCACTGGCTACCTCGGCCTTGAGTAGGGTCAGTATCAGAAAGAACGGCCGGCCAACATATACGTTGCAGGGCATACCATTGCCATATTCTTCGTCGCTATCGTCTATCTTCAGCCGCCTTGTTCTTTCAGGGTCCCATATACCCTCTAACCCTTCTTTGCAGATCTTGCACAGCATGACTTAAGAACTTCGTTGCTTCTCCACAGACAGCGCTATGTCGATGAAAGTACTTATGCTCACGGTGGTCGGTCGCGGCTTCCCCTCATCGGGCATCCGTGCGGGCTTACCGAACCGGGAAAAGTTGCATGCAGCATAACCGAGTGAAAACCTAGTAGTAGTGACTGCTCCTGGCCAGTAGCTAATGTGTGGTAACACTTCCTACGCCCACTAAGAAGGAGTACTAGTCATCTAATTAGAGGGAGCTCGAGGCAAGACTGTATAGGAATCCTCGATAATTTCGGACATAGACATCGGATGTTTCAGCGGAGTCGGCCAAATCGAGGTCTTCTATTTGCTATTCCATGTGTGAAGGACATTTTGAGTAGGAGTGATTCGAATATGAAGAGATATATTGCAGGTACAGAGATGAATCTAGTTCCTAATTTGTCAGGCAAATCTCCGCTATGCTCGGGTATAAGAATAGTTTAACTCCGTCCCTCGGTTCCTGCCGGCCGCAAAGAATCGCTTACGCTCTTGTCGAACAAATCAGGTTTGACCTGTTTGTTTAGTAGAGATGATCGTCAACTATGTCCACAATGAATATATTGATCCTGTTTCATTTTGTACTCGATGCTCAGGTCTGAGCACCTTCATGGTGCATGGACGTGTGGGTCAGTGTCATCCGGTTACATAAAGCCCGGACTTAAGCAAATTAGCCTTTCTTACCTCCGTTTAGATATACCCTGGATGACATGACATCAATTAGTACCTTGGCGGAGTAGCCGAGAGCAATGAGTATATAACCATCCATGTGTATATCTTTTGAGACTATTGTAAGTTTCTCCCAATCCAAGTGGATCCCTACCATCACATCAGTCGCCTTGCATTTACACAATCTGTCAACATGGCCTCTCTCGAGCAAGCAGCACAAACCTCCCCCCTCTTCCGCCACCGCCAACTCGCACCAGCAGCAGCAGTCCGCGTATCCCCATTATGCCTCGGAGCGATGACATTCGGCAACCGCCAAGAGTCCCGCTACGGGGATTGTACTCGTGAAGACGCCTTCGCCATCCTCGACCACTTCTACAGCCAAGGAGGCAACTTTATCGACACCGCCAGCGGCTACCAAGAAGGCCAATCAGAGGTCCTAGTGGGCGAATGGATGGCAGAGCGCAAGAACCGCGACGAGATTGTGCTGGCAACCAAATACACAACTGCTTATATGACACACCACAAAGACGCCATCCAATCCAACTACGGCGGTAACAATGCCAAGTCCATGAAAGTCAGCGTAGAGCAATCCCTACGCAAACTCCAGACTTCTTACATCGACCTACTCTACGTCCACTGGTGGGACTTCACCACCTCAATCCCGGAACTCATGCACGCGCTAAACGACCTCGTCGTGGCGGGGAAAGTCGTTTACCTCGGTATCTCGGATACCCCCGCTTGGGTGGTAACCAAAGCGAATCAATATGCCCGGGATCACGGACTACGTCCGTTTGCTGTGTACCAGGGGATGTGGAGCGCAGCAATGCGCGACTTTGAAAGGGATATTATTCCCATGGCCAGGGAAGAGGGGATGGCGTTGTGCCCCTATGGTGTGCTGAACCAGGGTCGGTTTCAGACTAGAGAGGCCTTTGAGGAGCGGGAAAAGCATAACCCTGGTCGCAAGTTCATCCCTACCTCCGAGCATGATAAGAAGGTTTCTGCTGCTCTTGAAGATATTAGCACTGCGAAGGGCGTGAAGCTGCTCGATGTGGCTTTGGCCTATGTGATGCAGAAATCTGTCTATGTATTCCCGATTGTCGGTTGCAGGAAGGTCGATCATATTAAGGGTAGCATTGAGAGCTTGAACGTGGCTCTTACAGATGAGGAGATGGAAAAGGTTGACAGCGCTTACCCCTTTGACTTTGGGTTCCCCCACACTTTCCTGAGTGGCTCAATGTTTGATCATTCTACTCCCAGGATGGCTGAAAAGCCGGGTGATGTCTGGCTGACGAAGGTGATGGGCAAGTTCGACTGGGTCGAGCAAACTAAGCCGATCAAACCGGCTCCTTGAGTATGCTAATATAGCTCAAGCATGATGTTAGTATATTTATGAAAGATATACGAAAATAATGAAATGCCATATCCATCCGCTGCCACAGTGCTACCTGATTTAAATCTGCAGAAATATGCTTCTTATTATCCATCCACATTTATAGAAAAGATGTAGAAAAAGTGCTGATCGGAAATACAAAGAGGAGTCTAAGTAAAATAATCTAACGGCAAACCAAAGCTTTCACGCCAGGCAAACAGCACCGGTCACTTCTATTGTGGATGGTACTGGCAATAGGGTTGGTTAGCCGGTTTTTATTTCATCTGGTACATGGGATAACGATGATCATCCCCATAGTTGGGTGCAGATGGTGGAAGCGAATGGTAGACTGGCGCCGTACCCATTGCAGGATAAGGCTGGACCTGAGGCCCCCGTCTCGCTTGAGAAAAGCAGCAAGTGGTGATGGTCCAGGATACCAAAGAACACAAAGACAAAGCCACACTGAACCATATAACGATACATGCACGAGTGCCCCACGTGCCTGATATGTTGTGTGATTTCAACTCAGTGGTAAGTATACCCTTCAACAGAACGAAATTGACTGTAGTGAGTGTAGCAGCTGCCAACAGGAGAATAAACGCGGCACCGGAGACAAGGCTGATGACGAAACGGTTGAATGTCTTGTTTATAACGATAAGGGCGGCGAGCAGTTGGACGGCTGTAAGAAGAATGGCCAGGATGTATGTAATTTGCATCCAGGTCGAGGTTGTTTTATATGCACGCAGTGAGTGTCGAACAGCTGACGAAATATTGGTCTCCTTTCCCTCCTCGCCCATAGCTTTCAGCACATTGAAGTACGAGCCAGCTCTCGGGGTCATGCAATTCATTGTCGTGTTGCTGTTATTACTTCCACAGTAACCCATTATGCCGACCAGGTAAGTTTGATTTAACTGGCTCCCATCCCATGTTGTACCCAATGCATTCGACGTGGAAAGATTTCGGCTATTTTGGATATCGATCTTGATGCGACAAGTATATTAGTCTTGATGACCGCAACTGCAATTATGCCGGAGCCTTACTTGGAAAAAGTTGAGTGTTTCAAGTTCATGACTTCCCATCTTTGTACATGCCAGACCGATCACGACAAGACACAGTAGCGTCCCGATATTCAGCAAACACGAAGTAGTCACGAATAGGACTCGGTATAGACTCGCCATGGCTAAAGAATCCGATACTGGTGATGTTGTCTGCAAAAGAGCGTTTGATTATGCCCAGAGATGTCCTCACTGCGATGAGCCATGGTTTATAAGCTGGTGAAAACCGATTGATCGAAGAAAATTCCCTCAATATGCTTGGTAGCGAGAGACGAAAAGTTGATAGCCCCCTACTCTTGAAAACCCTGAATATCTTAATCGTGACGAGGCTCAACGCTTGATTAAAGACGTGACTGGATTAACTAAATTAACCTAACTCAGGGCAGATAATAGGTTAATAGTCAAGCCAAACTTAAACCTGCCGAGTGGGTCAGACCCTGATAATATTGGGTAAGAAACCGAGATACGGATGCGAACTTCCTATTCGGGATAAGCCTCAGAACTTTCAGCGGCACCAAGCTTTTCACGTTCCGGTTCTTGGTAGGGATCCTCGCGACTCCACCCACTATACCAGTACGTCCGAGTACTCTCCGTGTCGGGCCACATGGGCAACGGAACTTTTCAGGCACCACATGCGCCGGGAAGAAATAGCACACCCGGAAGCCCTCTGCCAAGAGGCCTGAGCCACAAATAGTGTCCAAATGTGAGCTTTTATGAAAGCCTGCCCCCATGGATTATTGGCCAAGACAAACTATTACACTACAAAATCAGAGCCAGGCCACTTATTTGGAAACCCCTTCATGCAGAACCCCACCTATGCCCTGGCCCAGGAAAACGGATTGATTGACTGTAATCCAAGTAGGCATTGCAATGACAAAACAAGACAAGCAGCTCCTCTTTAGACAGTATGCCCACCCCCTATTCCCTAATATATAAGGCGCAGATTTCCCGCTCGATCTCTGATTTTCATAACAGAGTCTAAGAATCCCCAGACATTTTATCTACACAATGGCAGACGCAGAGAAGGTTTACCGAGCTCACCCAAAAGACCTACCGACCTATGATCAAGCCACCTCAGAAGAGCTTCGCAGGCTCACCCAGAACACTAGCTGGAACTATTCTCTCTTTGACTGTTGTTCACCAGGCACATTATGTCAGTAATGATTTCCTAATGCCCTTCCCCATCGCCTTTTCTAACCGATCCGATGTCCAGGCTTGACCAGCTGCTGCCTCCCATGCCTTGCCTTCGGCAAAACGCAATCACGACTTCGTGACCCCACACTGCAGAGCTACGAATCGATTAACGGTGATGTAAGTTTTCGACACACTTTCTGCCCCTCTCGAAACTAACGCCGTCCAGTGTGTGATCTGGTCTTTCCTCAGCCTTGGTCTTTCACAGTGGATCTACCAGACTATCAGAAGAGGCGAACTGCGCAGCAAGTATGGGATCGAGGGATCCTGTTGTGGCGATTGCTGTGTGAGCATGTGCTGTGGCTGCTGCGCACTCATCCAAGAGGAAAAGGAGGCTGAAATACGTACCAGGCCTCAGGTTACAGGGTACCAAATGGCACCTCAGATGGCGTATCCTCAATAAGCCGGCCGTGGTCACGCAAACTTGTTATATTTGTATTTATAGTACTATACCTAATTATTGTTTTGAGTTTTGTTTTGGATTGGTGGCCTCGAATATACACACACACACACACATGTATGGTTATTTCATAAACGTTCTTCTGGAGATCAAGAAGATAGTACTTGTACTGTAGCGTGACTACTTAAGCTGTGGTGGTCGTTGCAGAACTTTAGTAGACACCTAAACCGATACTTCTAGCATAAAGACTCGGAAACAAGGGCAATATATCCGATGAACGACCAGAACATTCAAAAGTATTATCAAGACCCAGAGAAAGATTTGTCAAAGGCGCCACCGTTAGATCTTAGTGCTGACGGTGGCTTAAACGGCTCGAGGATCGTCAGGGGTACAGCGATTGAGGTAAAAGTTATTTTAAGCCGGTTTTATTTGTGGGACTCAGCCTGATTTTTCAAACCACATGAACTACTTCGTAGCCTTCTAGGACTTTAACACTGTATGACCGTGGGCTTGTCATTTGTGCATGCAGAATTGAATCAATCCCTTTTTCCGGGGCCCTTTTCTCATAGTTAGCCACGGGACCAAATTCGTAAGATTACTTTTTGCATAGCATATCAATGTTGTTTGAAAGTTGAGTACTATTCAAGACACAAGTGGAGGTTCTCTGCTGGTCAGGGCCTAGTATAAAGTCTATTACTGATTTGAAGTCCAGGTATTAGAAAGCCTAAATACCCGGTCTTATCGGCTGGAAAAATGGGGCTCCATGTTTGCCACTTCAGAGCATCAATAGTAAGGAAACCGAAAATCTCAATATGCACCTTATGGTGATATTGTATGTACTATTTGAAGTAGGAGGTTTCGCCGAGAGAGGACCCACAGGACTCTCATGGGTGGAGAAAAGTCAAAATGCGAAAACGAACTTCCCGAACGGGATTTAGAGCCCTTTTTATGTCTCCACATCCCCATATTCGTCAGTTGGAGTGCCTATTCGATTTCGTTTACCCACCTCAGGGCAATTCGTGTTCGCGTTTAGACTTAGTGTTATTTAACCAAAGAAATTTATAACATTCAGATGAACCCCATAACATGGTCTAAAAATCAACACCGGGAAAGGAATGGTGAATTGCTCTAACCTGGGGTAAATCCCGGCTCGGTTACCAGCGGCTTTGGCTCAGTGCCTGGAGTGAATAGCACTGGATCGATTGAGCGGTTTAATCTTCTCATTGCGAAGAATGCCAGTTTCGATACCGCGGGGCTAAGTCACGGTGAGTATTTGAGCCTCTTCAACCTCGCTGTGCAGGAGTACAGTGACTTCATGAATGCGGCGGACCCCGATTTGACTGAGTTCCGTAAGCTGGAGGAAAGCTCATTCATTACTTATCGTGGAATGGTAGGCCTAAACTATGCTCACTTATTCACAACGTGATTGCCGAACTGACTTAGTCCTTCTCATACAATTTAGGCCGATCTCAACATTCCGACGAGAGGCACGGAATTCTACTACGACAATGTGAAGGCCATGTTCCCCGACGTTCAACAGTTCTATCGTGTCTTTGAGTCTCCCGGTCTGGTTCACTGTTCAGGAGGAAAGAGCGGACACCCCACGACTGTCTTTAATGTTTGAGACGCTGGGTTGAAAATGGCACTGCACCCGACACCCTGCCTGTACGTAAATACAATCGGGTTCTGTGTCCTTGTTCGGCTAAAAGCGAAGTATACTGTGGTGACATCTCATCTGCCCAGAGCTTTCGCTGTGTGTAGAGATGTTGTCCAGGGTCTCTCTTAACGTCTGTTAAGTAAACTTATCCGGGTTAGGTTAGTATGATTCCCCTTCTGCGCTGAAACTGAGTTGTACATATTGGCATGGTGAGTGCATTTCCACTGATTCATTAAAGTTCAAGGCTTCCACTTTTGACAAAAGCCTGGTCACACGCAACAGATCATGCCCGAACGGGTCCGATGCAATGGTGAAGTAATAACCATATTGCAATATCTACCCTAGTTTTTGTTCGCAAATGGCCTGCCCATCCAAATTTCGAGGCATCAAGTGTAAATGATGAGCGGGCGTAGGTCATTCCGAGTGTCTAAATCCCAGCCTCGTCAAAACACCTGCGAGTCCCCGCGTAATTCCCCAGCCTCAGGACTCGGTGGCTTCAGTCCAACGCTTCGTAAAATTTCTAAAAATTCGCGCAGGTACGTCAACCTCTACTGTCTGCAGTACCTCCAGCTTTCCAACAGTAATGTAGTTGAATTTTGGGAGCTTTAAGGCTTTCTGTACCTGGGTCTGCGCACCTCTACTGCCCCGAGTGGTGATTTAAGTCATTGCGGGCGCCTAAATGCGGGATCGTAACAGAAATCATGCCATAATAGGTAGAAGTACTAGTATGCCACTAAGCGCCGCTTCCTTCTTGTTTCCAATCATTGTTTTCCATGAAAATGTGTATGCATCCGTGCTAATATGACACTGTCGATCATCAAATCGTGGCTGCAGTGCACCTGCGTGATTTGAAAGGTATCATTGTGAGCGACGGTCACCCTAGCTAAAGATATGGATCTATATATCTTAGAGCGCCAGTTAGTGACCTAGTTAGGTAGCCTTATCCTGACTAACTTCTATTCATAGACCCTAAATTCTATCAAGTGTTAGGAAAGGATCTTCTTCTTCTAGCCATTAAGCAATACGAAAACCGTACCCGGGTGGGCTACCACGGTATGTAAAAAAATATAAGGCAATAATCAATACATAAACGAATCACTATGTCCGAGCGCCAATTCAATTTCATCCTGCGTTAGACCTTCGCCCTACAAAGCAATATCGCACGTAGGCCATTATCAGGCGCGCGCCCCAGCCTAGGAAGCAATATAAACCAACCACTGACATCGGCGAGACAAGGCTACAGTGAGAGTTGAAATCGTTCATATAGGTTTATAAATTGCTAGCTTCAAGAACTTGCGTTGTCATGTTGCATTGGCCACTTAGATGGAATGTATAGGCGCTTCGGTAGTATAAGCGATGGAGGTCTAGATCTTGGCTTTCTCAACTGATACAATATAAATAGTAGTACGGATGAATAGAGCAGAAAAGGATAAGAATCAGGACGGAATGCTTCAGCCGCAAGAACGACTGGCTGTCATGACACAGTCAGAGGATAGAGTGCGTTTCATCTACTACAGTTCACTATGAATCCCGGACAGTAGTGGCCTGGCTATTGCGCTGCTGCGTTCTTTTGCTCTACATGAAGTGTATAAGTATCTGTGATGATAACAGGCTCTTTTTCTCTCAGGACAGGCCATCAAAAATCCGAAGCATCTAATACCTTTCATATCCATTCAGCCCCATCATATTTCTTGTTAAACATTGCTTTTACTCTTTCAGTTATGTACTAGCTTATATTTTGACTTCATCGACTTCTTCAGTTCGGTCGAAAAACGAGTATACCAGAAACTCATTGAATGAATCTATCCTATTAGCCGTAAGGTCCTTATACCCGCGCCTTTTGTTCTCACAGTACTCACAGGAGGCCTAGCAGGAGCATCATGCCGTTTCTCAAGCGCCGGGATACAAGTGGCAGCAGCAGCAGTAGCAGCAGCGCCAGCAGCACGAAGCCTGTTGGTAGGGGCCGCGAAAAGCGTCCTGACCCTCATTGCTTAGACTGTGGTGGTGGGGGGTATTAGTATTCCTATGGCCCATGTCGCGAGTGCCGAGGAACGAAGCGAAACCCCTTCTATCCAGACCTTGCATGTTCTGCCTGCAATGCGCACGGGCGTGTGCGGGTGAGCCGGGTTGGCTGTGGATGTCGATTTTAATCCATCTCCGGGTCTCCGGGTTATTGTTCCTCTAAAGCTTCTGGATCTTCGTGCTCATGTAAAACCTGGTTATCTGTCATCTTAAGTTATTGTGATTGTGCATGTGTATTAGTCAACCGTTTGCGAAATATTACCTGTCTAACTTCCATGTATCCAAATGGGTGACAATTATCTCTACTTAACGTCGTGAGCATAAAAGAACATATAGAAAAGTGTGCACGAGTTCACAAATCAAGTAAATGATGATCCATCTAGCGATCTCCCATGCTCTCAATTTCCTTCTGCTTCGCTTCTTCTCCTTCAAACTCCCTTCGCATAATTCTCTGTTCCTCCTCCCACTCTCTCGTCTTCTCAATGTTTCTCAACTGCTCCAGAAAGTTTGTCCAGAATCTGGGCTTCACCTTCCTCTCCAACCACTCCATGTCTTCTGGATGGTCGCGCATATGGTCCAACTCTCGGACGGGAATCCTCCGCGCACTCCTTAACCTTCGCCGCACTATAACCCGAACGGGCGGTTTTTCTGAAGGCTCATATGGTGCTGGTGTAAATGGCACACTTTTAAGCTCAGCTTGTACGTCCTCGAATTGAAGGATCTGGGGCTTGTCGATGCTATATTCAATCATCAACAAAGGCCACTGCATTGCAGTTCAGTAGTGAGGGTGGGGCATACAATTTACTTCCGTCCCATTCATAGCACACAGTCGGTACTTTGGAGTCATCACCACCTGGTGCAGTTCCATAGTCTATCAGAAAGAAACACATTCGGTGGCTGTATCCGAATTCATCACCGTAGGTGTACCATCGGTGCACGTGACCGTCGAAGTCGCATTTCCAAATATGTTGGCAGATGGTATCGAGCATGATGAAGAGCTTGTCATCGTATATGTTCTTTTCACCAGCTTGGTTGGTAGAGGGTACCAGGTGGGTTAGAGTTCGGACGAGAACACGGATCGGGGAGGGGGACAGAGTGGGTGGAGGGGTAGGGTTGCGATTCTGCAAGGGGTCGAGTGACATCGTTTGTGTAATGGTTTATAAAACTGATGTATATCAAAAGAATGAGAAGGCAGAATCAAGTGGGAGTAACGGAAAAAAGGAAGGGCGGAGGGACAGGAATTCGTGGGATGGGATGGTGGATGGATGGACAGAACCCAGCGCTTAGTGGAGGCGGGACACTAACACTTTAGTTCCTGACTAGACGCCCGTGCAGCGCCACGCGGATATCTGTGTCCGGGTTGATGATGTGCAGCTTCACGTCTCGTTTTGATCCACCTTATTTCTCCTCAGATAGTGCCTTTGGAGTCACAGGACGGGCAATCTTAAGCGTAGCATCAGAGTTTACGACAATAAGTGTTTTGGTTGGTATTTTTGGAGACCTGTTTACTCACACTGCCACTGTTGCTGGCCCACCATTATGCATTGAAGCTCAGCTCTGGGCTTTATTTTCGCTTGTTACTGCTTTATACGGACTAAAATATTGCCAAGAAACCTATCTCTCGAAGAAAGCCAGTTAGAAGTGCTTCCTCTTCACAATCAAATCAGTATTGGTTTTAATAAGCTGCAACACATGAAAAGCTTACACTATAGATACCGGAATCGGCAAATCGTGTATTATTGTCTGGCATTTCCCGGTATGGATTATGATCACCGTATTGTGCAGGCCAGTACAGTACCGTGTCACAGAGCTTGCTGAAGGATCGCTGGGCTGAATCGCACATCAATATCAGTTCTGCAACCCTCATTCACTGAGTGATAGGGACCCACCACAACAAAGCAGACTTCCCAGCTGTTACCTTCCCTCCAAATTCTAGACATCTCCATGACACGTTCATCACGCTCTACAATTCCGACTATCATCAAGTTCTCTTGGCCGATACAGAATGTCATCGACCGGCAGTTGTGCGAATTGCGGAAATGAGGCGAAATGGAGGTGCTCGGGGTGCAGAGGCGCACCAGAATACACTCCCGGCGATGCCTTGCCAGTCTTTTACTGCGGGGTGTCCTGTCAGGAGGCGCACCAACCCGTCCACAAAGATCACTGCAAGACCATGCGTCGTCGAAAGAAACTTCTGCGGACGGCAGTCATCGCCAAGGCTGCATTTCTGGGGTACAGAGAACTTCATTTCGACGTTGACGTTACCAATATTGAGCGGCGCGACGACAACCTGTATCTTTCCATCAACCACATGATCTTGGACAGGGATTCCTTGACTTTGGGTCGTCCTTTCCCAGAAAATTTGACCACGGACCCCAAGCATCAAGAGGCAGTCCTCACATGGCTTCAGGGAATTACTGCCTGTCCCTTGTCGTGCCGCTTGGTGACAAAGCTTTTGGCAGGTACGATTGTTCTACTTCTCCAACACTCTTTGTACACGTTGGGCCACCTGAGGCTGACACCGATTAGACGTACCGTGCGAGATCACCATGATGGGGGTCAACGTTGGAAAGAGAAGCTTGACTATTCAGGTCGTTCCCCACTCTGACTCCGTTGATATTACTGGCCCGGATACTGCTGGTATACCACACCACATCTTAAAGATCAGAGTCCGGCAGCCGGGCGATGATGAGACCTGGATTTTGGACCTTACTGGCGCTCAGTATGGTATTCAGGCTGCCCTCACCCCGTATTCGAAGTATATGGCAGATCAGGAGTGTTCGATTGTGGGCAATCCAGAGCCATACAATATGACTGAGACCTGGGATTTGGATGTCGCGTCAGCCAAGTTAGAGGATGTATTTGGAGAAATTCTGAGCTCTGTGCGTCAGCCACGTCTGCGTTTTGCTGCTTTCGTCGATACGGTTGACGAAGAGATTTTAAAGGGGTCACCCGAGGAGTTCGTTCATAAGTTGGCACAGTTCCGAGTAGCACTGAAGCAGTACATGTTGAACGAACCCCAGAATCCTTGAGGTTGTCTTCTAATGTTCGTATCATATGGCATGAATCTGAAGAGGCAAACTACTTGGGATGCACCCACGCAGATTAAGTTGAAAAATTAGTCCATCAATCTGTTGCAATTAATGGAGAAGATGTAGTCACTCATGGCTGGGCATAAAAAATTGGGTCTTATGTTTCTTACTCCATAGTTCCACTGCATGCGGCGGTCTACTGGTAGGTACGTAAGTGAGGATTCCTGGGACAGTGGTTGCATATTTCCTCATCGACTTAATTCCCTTCCCGACAGAAGATGTGCTTGCAAGTTGATGCCTAGTTGCGAAACAAGACATAGTCCATCATGCCCTACAAAACCCCACATAGCATAATCCAATTGAATCCTCCATCTGAAACAACCATATCCCACATACATGTCAATATCCCGTCTTTCAAAGTTGCCAAAGGCCGCTAAGAACCACAGCCAAAACAAGATAGGATTTCAAGCTGGGCACCGAGCTCGACACGGATCCAGAATTCTTCCCGGAGCTACAACCAACTGACTGGAGACGGTGACCCTCCGTAAGACAGTCCATCAGAGTCGACTGGGTGTCTTTGGTCGCGTTGCAGTAAGCGGCACAGTTATCCTCGCCGTAGTAGCTGTACTGGTTGCTCTTGCAACATTTCACCAAGTCGGCATATGGGTCTTGCGTCCGGTTGAGTCCTTGTTGCCAAATAGTAATGGCGCAATAATATGGATAGCTCAGTGTAGGAGTTCCACTATGGCCGGCACATCGGTCCTGTTCCATAGTACTGTTTGTGATGTTCATGATTGCGAGGCGATTCCCGAGGTTGTTCTGTTGGCTTGTATTAGGAAAGATAGACACTTTGGACGTACATGGGGACAGCTACCTACTTTTGAGTGCAAATTTCCCTGTCTGAGTAAGATATGTAGCAATTTGAAACGAGTGGTAGATCAGAAGTTGTTCTGCTCGATATAAATCGGTGGCAGGTGAGTGGGTATGGAGATATGAGCGACGCTTGGGAACGGGCAACCTTTATAGGAAGTTCCAGTTATTTCTTGACTCAGAATTCGGAGTCGCTTTCACTAGTTAAATCACGCGGTATTCCTCGCTCAAGGATTCACTCTGTGAGACCTCACTGGATAATTCACACGGTACCTTGCTTTTGTTGTCTGATGGTAATGAATGTCAGAGTTACACATAGCATTTTGGAACGACATTGAAACCCGGAGGTGGCACAACTCTCCTCCCCAATTTCTCGTTACTTAATGCACATGACCTTGTGCATGCGCATTGCTACCACATCCAGAAACATGAAGTATTCCTTGTGAGACATTAACAGCCCTAGTACAATTTGGGGTCGAAGGATGAAACTGAGAAGCCAAACAGATCCCTGCACGATTACCCGGACCCCGGAGAAACTGTAACAAGGCTGACAGAGTGCCCGATGCCCCTCCTTCACATGACAGTGCTACCAGTGAATATTAAGGGCTATGCTGTTCTGTGACTAAGGGAGACTGCAAATGAAATTATGATTGCCCAACTGGTATAACAAGGTCATTAGTACATTGCGAGTTTCTAACCGGGGGCCAAATGTCCAGACGACCCCTAGCACAGTCTAGCTACCTCATAAGCAAAGATGTGACATCGAGTTGTTTCTGATGGTTGTCGAGGTGTCGGTAATTAAAGAGAAGGAGTATTGATATTCTCGATCATGGGTCTGATAGAAGTGGATGAAGGTATAAAGATGCTTACAGGCGCAGGCTTCACCTGACAGTATTCAGCATTCACAAACTTCTTTGCCCACTGCCCGAAAATGAGAGTATTCAAGCTCCTCTGGCTGCTCGCTGCAGCCGCTTTGGCAGCGCCTTCTTCTCAGAGCGAAGAGGACATCAGTTACGTCCGAGTCACTCTGCAGCAACACAAGACCAATTCAGAGAAAGAGATTCTGGTAATCGATACCTCCACTTCGGATATCCTTGCATCCGCCTGCTCTCTTGCCCTCGACACCGGGGCCTTTGCCGATTTCAGCATCGTCGCCGATGTTGGGCTTAATGGCAACGGCAGTATCATCGCAGGACCGTCTACATTCACCGTCCACGAAAATGTTGAGCATTCTGGTGGAATTATCTGTTACAGAATGTACGATGAGTACGAATCGTTGCTGGTGTGCGATGATGTTCCTGTGTCTAGCATGGTCCAATTGAGCCGCATTGGAGAAAATGGCCGGCCAGCTTGTTTCAGTGAGCCTGACAAGTTGCACTTACGTCCAGTGGCAGAATCCACCCATATCATGGACACTCTTCCAATTCCCTTTAGCCAAGAAAACCTCACTCAACCTGCACATGAGGGCGAACTGGAGCAGCGACAAATCAGCCCGTGCAGTATGTGGTACCCGGCCACAAAACTTGTCGGAGATGGCGACCCTCATCAGAATTATTACCATAAGCAGTTGAGTGTGAGTGAAACAAGTTTCTCCTGAGCGATGACAGAAACTAATGAGTAATGCGCAGGAGAATCTGGACTGTGGGGATTTGGACGAATGTGCTGTCTCGGCATCAACATCTAAATCCTATACCATCGGCTGGACAGCAACCGCAAATGTAGGCCAGTGGATCTCTGGTGGCTTTGCAGTGGAACAAAACTGGGAGACTGGCAGTGCGTATGAGTGCACTGGTCACGCTCACCAGACAATCTGTCTCTGGTACAAGACTGCTCATACTGCGTACACTGTTCGGAATGGTCAATTCAACCAGTGTACGGGCTTCAACCCCAACGATGATGACAGCTTCATCATGACTTCTCCGAACAAAGGCAATAAAGGCGGTTTACATTACTGTGTCACTGGCTATTGCCGTAGTCAGGGACAGGGTTACTGGAGCGATTATGCCCCTGCAGGTGGACCTTGATTTAGCTCAACTTGTTCCAATGATGGTGGACATGAGACTTGGTATTGTGACGTGCTTGTATCATTAGGGGATCATTTGTATTAGAAAATGTCTTGTCTAATTAGGTCTTGGCAAGAAAGTCTCAGATTTTGGTAGTCCTCAAGACCACGGTCTCGAGTTAGTACTAGGTCTGCGAAAGGTTCGCGGCTTCTCATACAGATGCAGCGAGATGTATGCCCTGTGGCACAGGTCGTCCTTGACAAAATTGATAACAAGTGGTTGATATGCTTGGTAGGGCAGTCAGCTATTCTGGCCAATATCGGACAAGAAGGGGCTTCAACTAGCAACTGAATATAGAGCAGGCAACTACTCCAGAGTAGAGATCGGCCAAGGGGAGTAACCCTACTAGAGGTAGGCACTGACTGGATAGTAGGGACCCACTACAGATGAGGTATTCCATCCGAGCATAGGACCGAATAGAGTAAGGATCTACAAACTAAGAGTCCAAGTGGCGCCAAATTGTAGGCCAGAAACCGATCGTGGCTTATGGACTGATAAAAGTGAGGGGAATATATTCAGCCTTATGACACCCACTACCTCCGAGAGGATATTACGCTTGCTCTCAATTTTCCGCTCTTAATCTAATTTTTTATCTTAATGTAGACTGGTCTCAGAAATTGGTCGTAGGATTTGCTCTACTGAATATGGCCCAGTATGTTTTGGCCGTACATAAATATTGCTCATGATTCTGTGGTAATGTAACCTTATGTCCTAAAGCAGCTCAGCAGCTTAGCTAGACGGCTAGCGCCGCATTTGCTAGAATGGGAAGGTGGTTTTGATCGAGGGGTTTATTTAGCGTATGTTCGGTTGTCGCGATTATGAACAAAGAGCAGACCGTGTAGGGCGATCCAGAAGTGGAGCTAAAACATTATAAACCTTAAGACAGCATTAGCAATATAGAGAAAGCCTCCTAAAATATGAGAACATTGGCACATGCTAACTTTGTGTATGACCATGGCACATACACCCACCAACCCTACGCCATGTGGGGCATCGTAATATTTGGTAGAACAGCAGTTTCGGAATTCCCCGCCAGGTGTCGGTCTGGCATTTTCCCTAAGAAAGCACCGACGCAGGACCATCTGGGTGAAATATGGGTAGCTTGAGGCCTTTCAATCTATTTTGGGCAGGTAGCGATGACAATTGACAAATAATAGGGGAGAACTGCCTCAACCGCTGACTTCCAGCAAATCTACTCAGGCAAGGATCCCAAATGCAAGATGTTTGAGTATCTTTCCGGTACAGATAATATAGCCAGATTGATGGAAATCTGTTACATAGTATATTGCATTAATCTGTCAACCGTACCTGCGTACGTACTGTGATATAATAAAATACAAAATTAGGAGTCCGTGACTCAGCGAGAGGGCCACCTCTCCTCCATTACTCCATCCCATGTAATTCCATAGACTTCGCACAAGTGGAGTAACCATTCCGATATAAGGTAGGCTAAAAGGTTAGCTCCAATAATTCTAGAAATTTAATATAAGAAACCGTACTTACGTCCACGGGCTTTGTATGATATTTCGAAGAACAGTAACGGTTCGCGAAGGTGTTGATGAAGAGGAAGACTGAGAAGTGGATGTAGTGGCTTTTTCATTGGTACCCATTTTGGTTTTATCGATAGTACAAAATATCAGCACCGCTCGAGGCAAGGAAGGATATGTTGTGTGCAACAGTTGCAGCCAGGTACTAATGATAGATAATTAGAAGCCCGGTGGCTATTCCGAGGTATTTATGTACGAAGGCTAGTGCTCGCCCCACTAGCTTTGCAAGGGTTCGTAGGCCGACTATCCACTAGTAGTCAACTGTTCCTTGACTCCACATCGGAGACCCGGGGTTCTTCTCATACTAAAGCACCATTAGTTCAATAGCCCATTTCTTCGGTGGATAGCTATTATATTATGTCTCATGTGCGAACCGTACAATCTAAAGTCGTGCATCATCTATGAAGAACAGTTTAACAGCGACACATAACTATAAATATGGCGTAGCGAAGCCTCCCAAAGATTACCTACCTGCTAAGTCGCACAAATATTTTAAACCATCAACATGAAGCTCTCAATCTTTCTGTTCTCTCTTCTGGCTACAAGTCAAGTCACTCTAGCGACACCCACTCCAATAGTGGATGTTGCTGAACTTCCTTCAGACATTGGTCTTGAGATCCGATCTCCTAATCCGGCTCACGAGCCGCTGGCGATCCTAGAGCAGAGGGATACTAGAGTCTGTGAGATACTCAATCGAACGATTCGTTCTATTGGTACCAGCAAATTCACGTATGGCGCATACTCTCTTCTCTATTGCCAATGATTCTCAAGAGACTAATGAATTCTAGGGTTGTCTATATCGTGATGGGCTCGCGTCTTGCTCGACAAGTCTGTGAATATGCCGGTGGCAGTAGGTGTGAGGAAATATCTTATATAATTTCAGACGGTCTCCTCTTGGCCTATGTCGCTGCCGCCCACTACTCTGGAGCCATTCCCGAAGGTCTACCGAGTAAGCGTCACGACGATGATTCCCAGGATTATTTCCAGTTGTGGGAGACTATGTTGTCAAGTAGTGATGATATCTCCTATGATTCTCTCACTCCTCTCTCAAATTCCTCAGATACCCTTCCCCTGGTTAGACGCCAGAATGAGCCTTTACCAATCCACAGACTCCAGATCACTGGTTTCGCCCATGAGAACTCTCCGAAGCATGATATTATCGCCAATCACTATAAAAATGGCGATACCGTCCTTCATCTTCCACTTCCAGGAGGTAAATCTGGTGCGAATAGCACTGAAGGCCTTGACCTGAAGAAGCGGTTTGACAATCCCGGGTTCAAGATTTCGTTCACTACAAGGGGAAGATCGAAACTCACCCAAGCCCATCAAAAGTCTATGGCATTGGCTGGGGCTGCTACATGGGCTGTCTATGCGGACAACGCTAATCACAAGATGGATGACTTCATCGGTTTTGCTGAGACTGAAAATTCGGCCAACTTCTACTACCGGATCATTCCGGAGCTGAGAGGATTTGGAACTAACTACGAGACTGTTGATGTTTGCGGAGGAATGGCATCGTACTTATGAAGAGATTTAGCAAACGGTGAGATCTATTCCGTGGGTACCAACTGTTGGTGTATTGCTTCTTCAGGCTTTCACCATGCGCACTGGTGAAGGGATATGTGGACGATATCATGACCATATATGGAAAGAAGGAGATGAGGGTCAAGTTATAGAAAATGAAAGCAGTTGGGAGCAGTGTTAGTACTGTGCCTATTTTCTTGGAAAGGGGGTCTCCTCGTTGTGCATTTAATCTAACATTCATCTTGTATAAGGGGCCTTCGTGTTAGGAGATGTGAAAAAGGGGGGAAGACCTATACTAAGACCAGAACCGAATCATGATGGTTATCCTAATAGTCAATGTCTAACCTATCTTCTATATGTATACAAGTTGAGATACTTAGAATGCTAGACATACAACATTACTTCTATAACCTCCACACACAACCTAGTCTTACAACGACACTAAGCAATGGGGCCGACGCCGATCGCTTGTGGCCTCCCGCTGCTGCCTTGAGCCGCGGCACTGGCCACCCATTAGACACCGGAATAACGGATAGGAAGGGTCTAAATCAAGGCTTTCTGATGCCTTACATAATAATTAAACTTTACGCGTGTATAAGATAAGCAAATATGCACCCAAGAGCGGCATGAAATGCGGGGTTCAGTCGGTTTCTTGAGATGAATGTTGAATGAGATTTCGCTTTAGGCACGCACCTGACTTCATTCTGTCACCGTAATATCTCCTCTGGGACCTAATCTTCTCATCTCTCCTGGTATAAAAGAACACTCGGCGCAGACTGATGAAATTACAGGTACGATTTTTCCCTTGCCGTCCCTGATCATCATAGCAGCTAATGTTTCCCAACCGTCCGTCCCGACCAGTAAGCCAATTTTACGTAGCGTGGTGTTCTTTCAAGTTTCAAGGCCACAGTGTGTTGTCCCTCTATATAAGCCAAATCATCCCAGATACGGTCTCTGCTCTTCTTCAGGTCCCCAATTACTGAAGTCCGTCAATCCTTCCATTCCGCTTTCCTCCCAATGGCCACAATCAACGGCCACTGCGATCCGGCCTTCACCCGGGTGCGCGATCTCCTACAGCAATTGATCAACAATGAAGAAGAGCTAGGAGGTTCCATCTGTGTCAACATCGACGGCCAGAATGTAGTTGATCTCTGGGGCGGCCACGCAGACCCAGCCCGAACCAAGCCATGGGAAAAAGACACAGTAACTGTGGTATGGTCTGTTTCCAAAGTCATCACCGCCATCGCAACCAACATCCTCATCGACCGTGGCCTCTTAGACCCGAATGAGAAGGTCTCCAAATACTGGCCCGAGTTCGCTGCGAACGGCAAGGAGAATATCCTGGTATCACAGCTTCTCAGCCACACCTCGGGAGTATCATCCTGGGAGCTTCCCAACACCTTAGATGATATTTACGATGCAAAGAGAGGTGCCGATAAACTAGCCCGACAGGCCCCCTGGTGGACGCCCGGCGAACGTTCCGGCTACCACGTAGCCAACCAGGGCCACTTGCTCGGCGAACTTGTCCATCGCATCAACGGAAAACCGCTGGATGAGTTCATCCGCGACGAGCTTGCCAGTCCGTTAGCTGCGGACTTTCAGCTCGGTGTCCCGGAAAAGGACTGGCCGCGGACAGCAGATGTTTCCCCGCCGCCGCCACTTCGTCTCGATGGTGTTGACCCGCAGAGTGTTATGTTCAAGAGCTTCGCTAGTCTGCCTATGCCGGCTGAAGAAAGTATGGGTCCTGGCTTTAGGAAGGCGTTGATCGGTGCGACGAATGGATTCTCTAACGCTCGTGGGATTGCGCGCATTGCGTCGGTCGTCTCGCTTGGAGGCACGGTGGACGGAAAACAGTATCTTTTTCCTGAAACTATTGACCGCATGCTGGAGGAGCAGATCAGTGGGCCGGATTTGGTCTTGATGTATCATTTGCGTTGGGGTCTTGGTGTTGGTTTGCCCGTCCCGGAGACGTTTCCTTGGTTGCCCGACGGTCGCATTGCTTTTTGGACGGGCTGGGGTGGTTCGGTGGTTGTTATGGATCTTGAGCGACGGATGACGATTGCCTATGTTATGAATAAGATGGGATCGGGCACGTTGGGTTCAGATAGAACGGCGGCTTATGTGCGGGCTGTCTATGATTGTCTGGCGTAGGTGTATTAGGTTTCCCGAATATATATTATGAGTATAGTTATGCTGTTCATAGTTCAGGTTCCAAAAATGTAGAAAATAAACAATGACTGGTACTACTATACTTTTACGAAGTAGGGAATCGAAGTTAGCAAAAAAAATTAAGTCGTAATAATAATCATCACGAAAAAGAAAAGAGGCATGCCACTACATTCACTGTGAGTAGTGGTAATGTTGGACGGTGCGGAAAAGAAAAAAGCAAAAA